TGAAATATTGAGCCATTCCTGATAAAATACTAAACTAAAAAATAGGTAAACAAATATAAGAATATGTTTGTTCCACCGTTGCTATCTAATAGTTCTAGGAATTTTGGCTGACATGGCAACATGAAATAAAGCATTTTAATAAAGTTGCTGGATACAGGACAAATATATAAAAACGTGTTTCTATAGAACAACACACAATAAAATTTCATGGAAAGAATTCCTTTTCCATAGCAATCAAAACACATACACGGCATGTAATGATAAACATGAGGTTCTGTTTTAGGAAAACCGCCCTCTCTATTCTTAATAGATAAAGAGCTTGAACTTGATTGTTAGACCTGGGCTCAGTCTCACTTTGCCACATGATGAGATACTTTGCTGAGCTGCTTTAAGCTTCTCATTGCATGTAAACATTTCCTCCGTTCATTCAATGAGTGTTATTTGGCTTCCACTGTGTGTCGTGCCCTTTTTCACATGCTACATGTAATAATGAGTGGGACGGAGTCGTTGCCCTCATGCAGCTTAATCAACAGTTAGTGGAATAATTACAGTATCTCCCACAGGGTTGCCGTGAACATTAAAGGGGAAAGCCTGGATTAATAGTTGTAGTGCCTAGTATTGTAATGTTATTGAGAAATGTTACAGAAGACTTTAATAGGAATTACTTGTTTTTTGCCTGAGACTCTGGGTATGATAAGGTTATTGCCTTTTCCCAAATCAAGGTAGATGTTTAACGTAGTTTAGATATAAAGTCTATAAACCTCAGGAGCCATCATAGGCTGTCTGCACTGGCTAAAAGCAGGTTTGGGGACCCTTGAAACCTCTTTCCTATAACCCTGGGAGCCAGTGCTTAGTCAGGAGACTAATTCAGAGTCTCCGGGTCAATTTGATTTCACACCCGCATGGTGCTGATTCGGTCTGTGCCAGCACATTAACCCCAAATTGGTTCATCTCCTGTGTTTTCATCCTCATGGACACCCTCTTATCTAGATCGGCCCTCTGCTAAAATAAGAAAATTCTGGCCTTTGCAGTAACTGTGATTCTGGGCTGGGACTCCTTGCAGTGTTCTGTTCCCGGCAGTGCACTTGCTTGGTGAAGGTGGGGATGTATTTTGAGTTTATGTATCTTTGTATCCTCATTCTTACAACACTTAGGAAAGTTTTTGAAGTTGGGCTGGGGATAAGGGAATTGCCCTGAAAAATAATTCTAAGCTCTAGGTCCAAACATATAAATGTGGGAAGAGTGTGACACACTGATGCTGATGTGAGACTTTGTTAGGGAAATGCATGCATGATAAAACTTTGTTTTATGAGGTGATGTGTTGCATGCCAAAGTCCATTCTGGATGAATTTTAAGGAGTTAAAAATTATAACGTGAAAACAAGACTGGAAGATAAAAGTGAAGAGTTTTCCGATTTCTGTTTGGGAGAAAGATCTCTAACTGTCGGATTACGTTGTACTTTTTCCGATGATCATGAATATCGCATGAAGTGAGAGATGTACAAGCATGTCCCTGGTTGCTCACCTCCTTGTACTGACAGCACATTTCCTTTAGAACATTGCTTTTAATTCATGCTGGGCAAATGCTATTCTGTTCCATGGAATGGGCTTTTCACAGAAACATCCAGGGTTTTAAGAACAGATTCGTACAGCATACCAAATAACGTGTCAGAATAAGACACCATTGCGATGGTACGCACTCAGTGACGACTGCTGATCTGTGTCTTACAGTACTTGTGCTGCCTGTCCACGTCCCGGTCTTCCACTGATAAGCTGGCTTTCGATGTGGGCTTGCAAGAGGACACCACAGGTGAGCCCTTGAGCTGTGAGGGAGCTGCTTTCGGAGAGCCTTGTGGGAATCGGGTTGGAAGAAGTCAAGAGATACAATACACAAGCTGAATGTCCTTATGCATGGAGTCAGGAAAGAAATGCACGACTCTCTAATGAACGTCTTTAGTAAAAGGAAGAAGAGTCTGTCGTTACCATTGCTCATCCCCACGTAGTTAGGAGTTTAAACGAGGCCTCAAACCTTGTTCTTCCTGTGGGTTTGGATGGAACGGCAGTCCTTACGTAACACGATTTGCTGGCTGTCCACCAGAGTAACGTGTGCTGATTGGCTTAGGAAGTGCTATTCCATGTTTCTTTCATCATAAAAATATTTTTAAATCTAAAGTGTGACATGCTCAATGTCAACATTCAAATCAAAAGGCCCAAATGAAAGTCTCCTTCATTCCTCTGCCCTTAGGACATTGTGGTACGGATCTGTCTGAATACATTTCCATATTTTTGAAACAGAAAATGTATAAACGTGTACACAGTAGTAGAGCCTCTGTAAGTTGTCCATCTAGGGGACTGTAACAAACTGGTCAACATAAGAAACCAGGCCTGGTGTGCTGATATGTACGTGCGGTGCATGTCCAGTCTATAGACATTAGGTCAGTTTAAGGAGGTGGTCATCGTAGACAGTTGGCCAACTATGGAGGGTCTACCGTATTAACAATTTCCTTTTGGAGAGTCACAAGGCTTTAGTTCTTATTCTCAATGCTCAGAGGACTTTACTTTGACTTTACATACCTCTGCACAGTTGTGCTGTTTTTATCGTAAATGATGAAAATACATGACTTTTGTATTAAGAAAGTAAACAAAAGACCCAGTAGAAAAAAGAATGGAAGGAAATAGTTTGACTTTCATTTAGTTGGTTTTTTAGGGATGGAAAATAAGGTATCCTCTCACCCTCTTCCCTGCTTAAAATATTTTTCCATAATCTCTGTATCTTTCATGATCAACATAGTAATAAAAATAAAGCTATATTTACCAATCTAAATAATTTTTTCATAGGCCAGGTGTAGTGGCTCATGCCTGTAATCTTTACACTCTGAGAAGCCAAGGCAGTAGATTGCCTGAGCTCAGGAGTTCGAGACCAAAGCAAGAGTGAGACCCCATCTCTACTAAAAATAGTAAAACTAGCCTGGCGTTGTGGTGGGTACCTGTAGTCCCAGCTACTTGGGAGGCTGAAGCAAGAGGATTGCTAGATCCCAAGAGTTTGAAGTTGCTGTGAGCTGTGATGTCACAGCACTCCACTGTGGCTGACAAAATAAGACTGTCTCAAAAAAAAAAAAGTGTTGTAGAAAAGTAAGAAAGCTGAGTAAAGGAAAAGCATGATAAATATTAGATTGCAATAGAACTAAAACATTAGTCTCATTTTTGGACAGCAATTACATTAAGGTTTTACGAGGAACTATGAACAGATTGAAGAACTGTTTGCTTAAGCTTGTATCTTAGGTAATGGGACTGAAAAAGGAAGAATAGATACACAGGCCCTGAGGCTTATGCTTGATTTTTTCTAGAAGAAATTATTGATTTAACATAGACATAGCCCTTTTATAACAGATCCTTCTGTAGTAGGGTTGTCCAGGACCTTGCCCTTAGATTAGTAGAAACCACCACATTTTAGAGTAACAACATAAAGAAAGGCAAAAAAGGGACAAACTGATAAAATTTTAGATGACAACACTTTGTATCCTTTTTTTAAACCAACATCCAAAAACAGTACTGAGGGTTTTTAAATTAATTTTTAAGAGATGAGATTTCCTTCTGTTGCCAAGACTGGTGTCCCGGGGTATGATCACAGCTTACTACAGTATTATACTCTTGTCTTTTTTTTTTTTTTTTTGCAGTTTTTGGCCAGAGCTGGGTTTGAACCTGCCACCGCTGGCATATGAGGCCAGCACCCTACTCCTTGAGCCATAGGAGCTGCCCACTATACTGTTGTCTTAAATGGTTCTTCGGCCTCAACCACCCAAGTAGTTGGGACCACAGGTGCAGACCACAATGCCTAAGTTTTGAGATTTTTATGGGGACAGGGCCTTGCTATGTTGAACTCCTGACATTAAACGATCCTCCCATCTTGGCCTCCCAAAGTGCTGGGATTACAGGCATTGAGCCATGGCACCCGGTCAGATTTTTAAAAACAATTGTTATAATTCAATTATCACATCACGAAAACCCAAGTCCTTTTGAAAATTAAGTGGCAAAAACCTAGATGTTTTTACAGAGAGCAATGTGAACAGTGTACTGATGTGATTGTATAAAGAATGAAATCAAATCAGCATGAGTAGTGAGTTTAGTCTTAGGTGAGTATAAATACACATCCTTTCTATGTCCAAGCACTTCTTTGTGGGGGAAAATGTTACCAAGCTTTCCAAAATGTCATACCAGTTTCTATGAGAAGAATTTTCGCCTCTCAGCCTGTCTTCTCCTAAGCTAATAGGGTTTAATTCTTTGGATTTGCATGGTGTAAAAGATAAATTGGCATTAAATTGCATGTGTCGAAAAGCTGTGTGAATGGAGTCACTGGCAGATAAAGTCAATTTTCACTAAGAGACACTGCCCTGTGTACGTATCCCCCTCTGCAGGCGAGGCTTGCTGGTGGACGATACATCCTGCCTCCAAGCAGCGATCAGAAGGAGAAAAAGTGCGTGTCGGGGACGACCTCATCTTAGTTAGTGTGTCCTCGGAAAGGTACTTGGTAAGTGCGGAAGGCAGGATTGTGCACTTGGTGGTATGATCGATGACATGGTCTCTTTAAGGTTTATATTACAAATTATCCATGAAAATTGCTTATAAGCAAGGCTGCATCTCTATTAGATGACTTATAAATAAGTTCCTTAATAGAAAAATGATGTGACCTGAGTGGGAATGTGGCTTCCCAGGTTTATTTGTGCAGGCCTCCCTGTGCTTGATACTCCCAGGCTGGTTCATGCAGGCCTCCCTGTGACCTTGATACTCCCAGGCTGGTTCATGCAGGCCTCCCTGTGATCTTGATAGTCGTAGGCTGGT